GAGAAAAAAAATTCAAAACCCACGTTTGACTGTACGATCCCTCCAGAAAGATCTGGCAGACACTGGAGTTGTGGTACACTATTCCACTATAAAGAGATACTTGTACAAATATGGTCTTCATGGAAGAGTCATCAGAAGAAAACCTCTTCTACGTCCTCACCACAAAAATCATCGTTTGAACTTTGCAAATGAACATATAGACAAGCCTGCTGCATTTTAGAAACAAGTTCTGTGGACCGATGAGGTTAAAATTGAACTTTTTGGCCGGAATGAGCAAAGGTACGTTTGGAGAAGAAGGGGCACAGAATTTAATGAAAAGAACCTCTGTCGAACTGTTAAGCAAGGGGTTGGATCAATCATGCTTTGGGGTTGTGTTGCAGCCAGTGGCACAGGGAACATCTCACGAGTGGAAGGAAAAATGGATTCAATAAAATTTCAGCAAATTTTGGATGGTAACTTGATGCCATCTGTGAAAAAGCTGAAGTTAAAGAGAGGATGGCTTCTACAAATGGATAATGATCCTAAACACACCTCGAAATCCACGGGGGGATTACATCAAGAGGCGTAAACTGAAGGTTTTGTCATGGCCTTCACAATCTCCTGACCTCAACATAATTGAAAATCTATGGATAGACCTTAAAAGAGCAGTGCGTGACAGACAGCCCAGAAATCTCAAAGAACTGGAAGACTTTTGTAAGGAAGAATGGGCAAAGATACCTCAAACAAGAATTGAAAGACTCTTGGCTGGCTACAAAAAGCGTTTACAAGCTGTGATACTTGCCAAAGGGGGCAGTACAAGATATTAACTCTGCAGGGTGCCCAAACTTTTGCAGACGCCATTTTTTTGTTTTCTGTTATTTTGAAAGTGTAAATGATGGAAATAAAATCTAACTTTTGTTGACATATTATAAGAATGTCTAATCTGTAATTTGATGCCTTTTTGAGATTTTTCCATCTTTCCTTGGCTTCTTTATGCACATTAATACAAATTTTTAGCTGGGGTGCCCAAACTTTCGATCCCCACTGTATATAGACACCTGACAGGCATAAGCTTAGTAAAAAGGACGTAGCATAACAATGAGCCCGGGTTCACACTTGTGCAGTGCAGCATATCACATGTGATTCGCACAAGAACCACACTCCTATGCAAATCACATGCAATGCGCAATTTGAGTCACACATTTATTTCAGGTACTTATATAGTGCAATCAATTTACGCAGCACTTATATATATATATTATACATTATACAGTACGTATATATTATACATTCACATCAGTCCCTAACCCTCAAGGGGTGTACAATCTAAGGTCCCTAACTCACATTCATACATACACATACTTTGGAGTGTGGGAGGAAACCGGAGGAGGAAACCCACAGAGGTACAGGAAGAACATGCAAACTCAAGGCAGGTGATGCCGTGGTTGGGATTCGAACCAATGACCCGAGTACTGCCAGGTGGAAGTGCTAACCACTTAGCCACTGTGCTGCCCTACATAAATTTTGTATGGCTCAAATCGCACCGCATCAAAAAGGTGCAGGATCCTTTTTTTGGTCCACACTAGAATCAGATTGTATGGGTATTCAAACCCATGCGATCCGATTCTGCACATTGCACCGTGTTTTGCAAACAGATTTCGGGATGTTGTTAACACACCCCCGCAGCAGATCGCATGAACGGGGTGCGATCGTGATCGGCTTAGTTCACACCGATGCGGTGCGGAATTCGCAGCGGTTTCTGTGCGAATTCTGCACCGCATCGGTGTGAACAAAGCCAGGCTAAGTGCGGCATGCTAAATAATGTGTTCGTGTAACACTTCGAGGTATTTATTACCTCTATTATTATTATTATTATACAGTATTTATATAGCACCAACAGTTCGCTCAGCGCTGTACATTACAATGGGAGACAGAACACGTGACAGAACAACAACAATACAATGTGATACACGAGGGGTTTGAGGGCCCTGCTCTTTCGAGCTTACTAAGGCTAGGTTCACATATGTGCGGGTGGTGTGGCTGCGGATCTGGATCTGACGAAAATCTGTGCAGCCGCACCACCCGCACTGGGAAAAAGAAGAATGCGGACCCGTGCGTGTCACGGGAGTCCACTCAAATGAATGGGCTCTCGTGCCCACCCAAAGCACGGCCGCATATATGTGAACCAGGGGTCACAGATCACAGGATTCCCCATGACAATCCTTTCCATATGGTTTCCTCTCCAGAAGGATGGATTGAGATGCTGGATCAGAGATGACACAATCAAGTAAATTTTTCTTTACAAATGTCTGACACACAGATCAGCCCCCCCGCTGCAGTCTTTCATCCTGTCAGCTGCTACAAAGTTAAGCCAAATACACACGATGAGAATGTCGGACGAACAATCGGACGTTTTTTTGCATGTTATTTTCATATCAAAAACGAATAGGTTACTAGAGTCACAAAAATTCTCACAAGCCAAAATACAACTCCTGAGATGATGTATTCTTTCATTTCTGAGCACGCATGGTCTTGGTCACTTTTTTACGGACGAATACTGTATATATAAAAAAAAAATAAAAAAAGTTGTTTATTCTGTTATCTTAAAAGAACAATTGTCGTGCTTGTCCCTTCAGGTAATTTCACAGGAACAGTCATGATCGGCTCCAAAAGCGGCATTTTTTGCTCCGATTTTCTCATCGTGTTTACTGGGCATTACAGTGTTGCAATCGAATTACTGGGGGACTAAAGAAATGCTTCCTCCAGCCTGCCACAGACTAATGACATCATCTCTAATGCTGTCACTGGATCAGATGAAGTCACTGGACCTGAGAGCTTTTCAAGGATTTTTAACCACTTCCAGTCCGGACACTTTCACCCCCTTCCTGTCCAGAGCAATTTTCAGCTTTCAGCGCTGTCACACTTTGAATGACAATTGCACGGTCATGCAACACTGTACCCATATGAAATTTTTAGAATTTTTTTGAGACAGATAAAGTTTTATTTTGGTGGTATTTATTCACCAATGGGATTTTTATTTTTTTTTGCTATGTAAATGAAAAAGTCCAAAAATGTTTTAAAAAAAACCAAAAAAAAGTGTTTTTCTTATAAAATTTTGCAAATAAATATTTCATCATAAATCTTGGCCAAAGTTTATTCCATTATCTTTTTAGTAAAAAAAAAAAAAGCCAAATTAGTTTATAACCAAAAGCTATAATTTTTAAACTTTTCTTTTTACATTTTTTATATTTTTTTTTATTTTTTTTTTTACATACCATCACCCTAGCAGTACAGTGTCACCATGGTGACACTGTACTACTTGTGGGGGGCGATGAAGATTTTTTTTTTTTATTATTATTATTTACACTGATTGCTTTTACACCCATATAGGATGTAAAAGCAATCATTTCTCTTTCTCTCTGTCTGCATTCTTGCAGCCATTGAGAACTACTGAGTGAGCTGTGATTGGTCACAGCTTGTCACATGGTACAAAGCCTTGTAATAGCCTTGTACCATGTGACCTCTGTGATCATTCACAGATTTCACACGTAGTAAGCAATGACGTCACAAGTGACATCTTGCGTACTACTTTGCATGTGATCCCTGATTGGCCAATCACTGATCACATGATCAGGACCTCGTACAAAGGTACCGTCTGATGATCGGTGTGTTTTCCCTGTGTCCGGAGGACACAGCGACCCCGGATCGCGGTGCTGCGCGCTTCCAGGGAGCGTGCACAAGCAGGGTGCGTGGAGGCCGTTGTATATAAACGGCCACCTGCCCCTGCACTGCCACCATCCGGCCGTTTATATACAACGGCCGGACAGGAGGTGGTTAAAGGTAGGGCTTTTTTGAAAAAAAATATACTTTTGATGTATGCTGCTCGAATTTTCTTGCTAAGAATTAAAGGAAAGAAAAGATGTTGGCCAGTAGCATGCGCCTTCAAAAGCATGCAAGCACATGAGGCATTGAATTTTCTAATTTAGCTCAGAGTTGGGCTTTAAGAAGCAGGCCAGCAATGATAGTCCCAACATTTCTCCCATTACACGTTTTCTTTAGGATTACTTTGGAACAGAGAGTACCTTGAGGCTACGTTCACACTTGTGCGTTGCAGGAACACACGCAAAATCACGTGGCAGTGCCAATAACTCTCAATGGCACTCCCACGCATCTTGCCATTCATTCTTAATGGCGTTTTGACATATTTTGGTGCAGTACAATTTGGTTTTGTTTCCACATTTCTCACGTGTAGGACAGCCCATTGAAATGCATGGGTTAGGGGCAGAACAGGGGACAAATGGTTAGCACTTCTGCTTAGCAGCATTAGGGTCATTGGTTCGACTCCCAACCATGGCACTACCACCTGCCTGGGGTTTGCATGTTCTCCCTGTGCCTGCGTGGGTTTCCTCCGGGTACTCCGGTTTACTTCTACACTCCATGTTTTTAGACAGGTTAACTGGCTCCTGTCTAAATTGTCCCTAGTATGTGTATGAATGAATGTGAGTTAGGGACCTTAGATTGTACGCCCCTTGAGGGTTAGGGACCGATATGTATGCAAATCGCTGGATAAATGACAGCACTATATAAATATCTGTAATATAAATTGGCTGTTCTAAACATGACCTATAGAAACGCACATGCACTCCATCGCACCTGTATGGTGTAAATGAAAGCTTAATGCAGAACTAAAGCTTTGAATACCGAACGATCCAATGTCCACCAGCTCCCTCCCTGGCATCCTCCTCCCATCTTCTTCTAGATTTGGGGTCTGTGACCATCTTGGTAGGCTGGGCCGGGATAATGCAACTCCCGCACATGCGTACAGGAGTTCATTCTCGGCATGAAGGCATTCTAAGAAAGTGCATTGCATGTGCAGTTCAGTGTACATTCTAAAGCATTTTGCAAGTAATTAAAAAAAAAAAAAAAAAAAAGTAAGAAGTCTTTACTGCAGACAAAACACAGCATTCATCTAGTGCAGTCGTCTCCAAACTGCAGCCCTTTGCTTGCCTTTATCTGCCCCTTGAGGCACTTTTCCTACCACTGACACCAACGATGGGGCATAATTCTTGTTACGAACATCAACAACAAGGCACAATTCCTGCCACCGACACCCATGCCGGGGCACTATTCCTGCCACCGACACCCATGCCGGGGCACTATTCCTGCCACCGACACCCATGCCGGGGCACTATTCCTGCCACCGACACCCATGCGGGGCACATTCCGACACCCATGCCGGGGCACTATTCCTGCCACCGACACCCATGCCGGGGCACTATTCCTGCCACCGACACCCATGCCGGGGCACTATTCCTGCCACCGACACCCATGCCGGGGCACTATTCCTGCCACCGACACCCATGCCGGGGCACTATTCCTGCCACCAGACACCCATGCCGGGGCACTATTCCTGCCACCGGACACCCATGCCGGGGCACTATTCCTGCCACCGACACCCATGCCGGGGCACTATTCCTGCCACCGACACCCAAGCCGGGGCACTATTCCTGCCACCGACGACACCCATGATGGGGCACTATTTCTGCCACCGACACCCATGATGGGGCACTATTCCTGCCACCGACACCCATGATGGGGCACTATTCCTGCCACCGACACCCATGATGGGGCACTATTCCTGCCACCGACACCCATGATGGGGCACTATTCCTGCCCACCGACACCCATGAGGGATGGGATGGGGCACTATTCCTGCCACCGATACCAATGATGGGGCACTATTCCTGCCACCGACACCCATGATGGGGCACTATTCCTGCCACCGACACCCATGATGGGGCACTATTCCTGCCACCGACACCCATGCCGGGGCACTATTCCTGCCACCGACACCCATGATGGGGCACTATTCCTGCCACCGACACCCATGATGGGGCACTATTCCTGCCACCGACACCATGATGGGGCACTATTCCTGACCACCCATGATGGGGCACTATTCCTGCCACCGACACCCATGATGGGGCACTATTCCTGCCACCGCCACCATGATGGGGACACCCACCGACACCCAATATGGGGCACTATGGGCACTATTCCACCCACACCATGATGGGGACTATTCCCCATGATGGGGCACTATTCCTGCCACCGACACCCATGATGGGGCACTATTCCTGGGGCACTATTCCTCCCACCGACACCAATGATGGGGCACTATTTCCTCCTCACCATCCTCCTCCCACCGACACCAATGATGGGGCACTATTCCTCCCACCGATACCAATGATGGGGCACTATTCCTCCCACTGATACCAATGATGGGGCACTATTCCTCCTCCCAATGATGCACTACCACTGAACCAATGATGGGGCACTATTCCTCCCACACTGACACCAATGATGGGGCACTATTCCTCCCACCGATACCAATGATGGGGCACTATTCCTGCCACCACTGACACCCATGATGGGGCACTATTCCTGCCACCATGATAGGGGACACCCATGATGGGGCACTATTCCTGCCACTGACACCCATGATGGGGCACTATTCCTCCCACTGACACCCATGATGGGGCACTATTCCTCCCACTGACACCAATGATGGGGCACTATTCCTCCCACTGACACCAATGGGGCACTATTCCTCCCACTGACACCAATGATGGGGCACTATTCCTCCCACTGATACCAATGATGGGGCACTATTCCTCCCACTGACACCAATGATGGTGCACTATTCCTCCCACTGACTTGGGACACCAATGATGGGGCACTACCAATTATGATGGGGCACTATTCCTCCCACTGATACCAATGATGGGCACTACTTCCTCCCACTGATACCAATGATGGGGACACTATTCCTCCCACTGACACCAATGATGGGGCACTATTCCTCCCACTGATACCAATGATGGGGCACTATTCCTGCCACCGACAAGCCAATGATGGGGCACTATTCCTGCCACCAACAAGCCAATGATGGGGCACTATTCCTGCCACCAACAAGCCAATGATGGGGCACTATTCCTGCCACCAACAAGCCAATGATAGGGCACTATTCCTGCCACCGACAGCCAATAATGAGGCTCTATTCCTCCCACTGACACCCCAGCGATGAGGCCCTAATGCCAGAGATGCACTGCTTACTCCCACTGATACAAGGACAGTTTCTACTTCTAATGGTCACAATCTGGCCCCCCTAAAGTCTGATAAACAGTAAACTGACCCTTTGTTTAGAAAGTTTGGAGACTCCTACTCTAGTGCAATACAAATTCTTTTTACTCTCAATGTTTGGTGTCGGGCTACATTCTGCTTTAATCGTCACATGTATCCTCCACATCCCTCACATCTATTTTAATATCTTTGACAAAGCAGCATGACATCTTATATACGGTCAGGGACACATCATATCTTGCGTGACTGAAGTTCAGTGCAGCTTTATCTTAAATGTCAGATAAACTTCTCAAGGCAAATACAGAAAACCCTGTGAAAATCTGTCTCCTTGTAACAGGAAGTAAAAACATCAGTCTGAAGTAGCGAAGAAGCAGTAATTCTGTAGAATGGGCAGCAGACAAAGAGCATGTTTAGAAAAATTCGCACATGTGTTTTAGTAATACTGCCGGGTTCATGCTGGGGTTTTCAGTAAAAATTCCTCGAGCGCCACCTAATCCCTCTTCAGTTGTAGCGGGGCATGACTTCAGTGGGGGGGGGCTGGGAGCAGAAGAACGGGCTTCACATGACTGAGCAAGGATTGCAGTGTGCTTGAATGGGTAAGGCCTCTGAAGTACACTATTCATGCCCCAAGGCTATGAAAATGCAAGGCAGATTATCGTCACACAACTGGTTTTCAAAGAGCCTGCAGACAGATGGAAAATTACCTGCCCGTATACAACTCTGTGCGTGTGTCGCAAAGCGTAAATGTACCCACGACGGTTATACATGACTATTGTAAAAGCAAAAACGTGAAATAACGCAGGCTTAGAAAGTTGTCTTCCTACTGGCTACTCCTAGATTGTAAGCTCCCAGGATCAGGGCCCTCCTATCCCTCTTGTATTGAACTGTATTGTTGCTGTATTGTCTCCCGTTATATTGTAAAGCACTGAGCAAACTGTTGGCGCCATATAAATCCTGTATAATAATAATAATATATAAATCCTGTATAATAATAATAATAATAATAATATATAAATCCTGTATAATATAATAAATCCTGTATAATAATAATAATAATAATAATATTAAATCCTGTATAATAATAAATAATAAATCCTGTATAATAATAAATAATAATAAATAAATCCTGTATAATAATATATAAATCCTGTATAATAATAATAATATATAAATATGTATAATAATAATAATAATATATAAATCCTGTATAATAATAATATATAAATCCTGTATAATAATAATATATAAAGTCCTGTATAATAATAATAAATATAAATCCTGTATAAATAATAATATATAAATTATGTATAATAATAAATAAATCTTGTATAATAATAATAATAATATATAAGTCCTGTATAATAATAATAATAATATATAAATCCTGTATAATAATAATATATAAATCCTGTATAATAATATATAAATCCTGTATAATAATAATAATATAATAAATAATAATAATATATAAATCCTGTATAATAATATATAAATCCTGTATAATAATAATAATAATAATAAATATAAGTCCTGTATAATAATAATATATAAATCCTGAATAATAATAAAATATAAATGTATAATAATAAATAATAATATATAAGTCCTGTATAATAATAATAATAATATATAAAATCCTGTATAATAATAATATATAAGTCCTGTATAATAATAATATATAAATCCTGTATAATAATAATAATAATATATAAATCCTGTATAATAATATCTAAATCCTGTATAATAATAATAATAATATATAAATCCTGTATAATAATAATATATAAGTCCTGTATAATAATAATATATAAATCCTGTATAATAATAATAATATATAAATCCTGTATAATAATAATAACTAGAAAAGCTACAATTTCTGGGGAATTGTGTGAAGTGTTCTTGCCTTCACCAGTAGTCTACTCTAGCTTTTGTCACTCTGCTGGCTGCTCACACACCTGGCTTCCTATGGCAACTCACTCTACAGCAAGGGCAGAGGAGCAGTTAAAAACAAACTGCTCCAACTTACTCACTTCACTGGCGATTGCCATCTTCAAATGGTTGTAGTTTTAAAACTATAACTCCTACAGTGAAGAGCTTTATAATGTGAGAATTACAAGACCCAGACCTACATTTTGATGCATAGTATGTCTCTGAAATATTAAAAATGAAGGCACAGTCGCAGTTTAGATATTGCCCTTCACATTTCAGGTGTCTAGAGTGGAGTTTCAATGAATGTCAATGAGCAGCGTGAGTTGCAAACAAATGGTAATATTGTGAAAACTATCAGGACTATGGCTTAGCCATTTTTTTAGTGGCAGCAGGGATAGCTGAACGTTTTGATATAAGATTTGTGTAGGTGGGCTTGAAAATGAGGGAGTGATGGCAGTTTAGAAATCATGTCCTGATTTTTCAGCTCACACTCTAGCTTTTATCAGCTCCCACTCTAGTTTTGAACATTCCGCCATTCATTCCTATGGGACCAATTTCACCACAAAAACGCCGATATTTCCTGAACCATTCGGCGAAAAGTTCCACAAAGTAATAGCACACACCAATCGGGAACAATCCGCACATTTCGGTATATTACTGTCTATGTAGTGTAAAAACTGTGGGAGGAGTTAGGGGGGTAAATTTGGCTATAATAATAAGAATATATATGTGAGATAACAGGAAGGGGTCGCCATGCAACAACACTTAATAATACATGTATAGGTGTGCTGGGTGGTGTATATAGATGCAGGAGAAACCTGGAAGCTCTATGACCTCTGCCTTGGTCAGAGGTCATGGGCTTCCTCCATCCCCTCTGCGTACATGAACAATGCCAGCTTTCTGCAAAAGAGGCAGCACTTAATGCGGAGTCCAGCAATTTTTCAAATGAAACAGCCATCATCTACTTTAAAGTATATAGCAATTAAAAAAGGGACTCATTCACACGTTTCTGACCTTATCTTTTTTTTTTTTTTTTTTATAACAGATCGACCAACTTGTCTGCTGTGCCTTCTGATCTTATAAACGGAACACCAGCCACAAAAAATTATTGAGGGAAAAAAAAAAAAATTATTATATTATTATATATATATATATATATATATATATATATATATATATATATATATATACATATATATACATATATATATACACACACACACACACACACACACACACATATATATATATATATACACACACATACATATATGAGTCCACCCCTCACATTTTTGTAAATATTTGATTCTATTATTTCACGTGACAACACTGAAGAAATGACACTTTGCTACAATGTGACGTAGTCAGTGTACAGCTTGTATAACATGTAAATTTGCTGTCCCCTCAAAATAACTCAAACACACAGCCATTAATTTCTAAACCGCTGGCAACAAAAGTGAGTCCACCCCTAAGTGACAAGGTCCAAATTGGGCCCAATTAGCCATTTTCCCTCCCCGGTATCATGTGACTTGTTAGTGTTACAAGGTCTCAGGTGTGAATGGGGAGCAGGTGTGTTAAATTTGGTGTGATCGCTCTCAGTCTCTCATACTGGTCACTGGAAGTTCAACATGGCACCTCATGGCAAAGAACTCTCTGCGGATCTGAAAAAAAAAAAAAAAAAAAAAAAAGAATTGTTGCTCTACATAAAGATGGCCTAGGCTACAAGAAGATTGACAAGACCCTGAACCTGAGCTGCAGCACGATGGCCAAGACCATACAGCGGTATAACAGGACAGGTTCCACTCAGAACAGGCCTTGCCATGGTCCACCAAAGAAGTTGAGTGCACATGTTCAGCGTCATATCCAGAGGTTGTCTTTGGGAAATAGACGTATGAGTGCTGCCAGCATTGCTGCAGAGGGTGAAGGGGTGGGGGGTCAGCCTGTCAGTGCTCAGACCATACGCCGCACACTGCATCAAATTGGTCTGCATGGCTGTCGTCCCAGAAGGAAGCCTCTTCTAAAGATGATGCACAAGAAAGCCCGCAAACAGTTTGCTGAAGACACACAGACTAAGGACATGGATTACTGGAAGCATGTCCTGTGGTCTGATGACACCAAGATCAACTGATTTGGTTCAGATGGTGTCAGATGGTGTCAAGTGTGTGTGGGGGCAACCAGGTGAGGAGTACAAAAGACAAGTGTGTCTTGCCTACAGTCAAGCATGGTGGTGGGAGTGTCATGGTCTGGGATTGCATGAGTGCTGCCGACACTGGGGAGCTACAGTTCATTGAGGGAACCATGAATGCCAACATGTACTGTGACATACTGAAGCAGAGCCTGATCCCCTCCCTTCGAAGACTGGGTGGCATAGCAGAGCCATACAAAGCAGTGTGCTTACAGTGTAAAGCATACACACAGCAAAACAGCACACAGTTAACCCTTTAATTGCCCCAGACGTTAACCCCTTCCTGCCCAGTGTCATTAGTACAGTCAGTGCTTTATATTAGCAATGATCACTGTATTGGTGTCATTGGGATGTCAGTGACAGTTCCCCACCTGTATCAGAATGCCCGCCGCAGTTCCACAAGTCGCTGCCATTACTAGTAAAAAAAAAAAAAAAAAAAAAAAAGAAATTTTCCAACACACACACTTGTAGACACTGTAACTTTAACATAAAGCAATTAATTTACACGTATTGGGACTTTATTTAGCAAAGACATGGAGCAGAATACATTTTGGCCTAAATTTAATCACAAAATTAGATTTTTAAAAAATATTTTTACTGGACATGTTTAATAGCAAAAAGTCAAAAAT